TAAATAATTTGGATCCTGATCTTGGAAAACAGTGACAACCCTAAGTATTCAAATAATTACAAATTGTCCTAAAATAATTACAGATTTTTTTACAGATGGTTCCTTTGCTTTTATTTGCTTCTTGCTTTTGAGCTGTTAGGGTTGGCACTGGTTAATGCTTCCAGGTTTTAATTCACAAATATTAGGGAAATATTTCTAGCTTAAATGAAAACAGTCTCTCATATTACACAGACCTTAAAGAAGAAAAACCTACTGCAGAAATATACAGCTAGGAAGCACTACAAAGAGGCCACCTAGTTCATCCTCCTCCCCAAAGGCAGGATAAACAGCAACAATAGTATTTTTTATAGCTGTATTCTATGAAATACTGAGCGATTAAAACCCCACAAATTCCCAGGCAATCTGCTCCAGCACTTGGAAGACTTTCCTGGAAAGGACAGCCTCGTGTGAGGGTCACCCTACCAGTGGGGTGACGGAGCATGGGAATGCAGACCTGCAAGGGACCTCCCAGCCCCCCAAACTGAGAGCCATGCAGTGGAACCTGGGCACAGTCCCAAGCATCCCAGGGCACACAAGACCTTCCTGCAGCACGTCAGCCCTGATGTGCCAGGGGAGCATCACCCAGAGCTCTGAGCCTGGGGGATTTGCTGGTCGCAGTCCTTGGTGCAGTTGCCCTTCCTATAGATCTGACAGCAAGCAAATCATTCCCTCTCAGTGCTTGCTTCCCCAGCGCTGACGATCTGCTCCGCTTTATCTAAAACCAGCTGGAAGCGCTCCTCAGCAGTGCCACCTAGCCACCCTGCCTCAGCTGCTCCGCTTCCTTCCATTAAGACCTTTGCACTTTTTCCTTCCCCCACCGTTTTTTATTCTTTCAATCGTATCCTATTTTCTTCAGGCCACCTCTTCAATTTCTTAAGATAATTCCTAACACTGTATTCGACCTTCCTTGCATGCAGGCATCATAGAGAATCTTATTAATCTCTCTCTGTTTCATTATCAAGTCAAAACACTGATTGGTAATAGAACCAGCAAAAGCTTTTGCAGAACTCCTTTGGATATTTTGCTTCCTCCACTGCAAGCTATCAATAAACTGCTCCCTGCAGTGCAAATGCGCATTTAAGGAATCTCCCCTGCTCAGCTGGGGGTTGGGTTCCTGCCTTCCTCCTGCATTGGCCCTTGCAAGCCCAGGCGCTGGTGGGACCTCCAGTGAGGAGGGAAGGGGTCAGCAGCAGGAATGTCAAGGCACCATGGGAATCCAGGTAAAGCCATTGCCAGCTTTGCTGCGCCTGCTCACCAAGGAGGTCAGCCTGGCCTGGCAACATCACCCTCAACAAATCCCTATTAGCTCTCTTCCTTTTCCATCTCACCATCCAGATGCTAACAAACACCTCGATTACATGCAAGGTTTGTGAGATATTTAGCCAAGCTGTGTAATAATATCCCAACATTTTATTCATCCTCACCCAGTCTTTTAAACTCTCCCTGTCCCCGCAAATTCCCAGTGATAACCTCATATGATATGGCAAAAACACCATTTCCATTAGGCCTAGGTATTTGCAGAAATCCTCATGTTTCTGACTCTCCTCCTCCTCCCCTGGTCTTTCCTGTCACTGGTGTTAGCAGTTGCCTGAGTGAAATGTGAATGGTTTTATTTTGAACCCCTTTTCTCACTTGAATAGTCCCAACCCTTCTGTTCGCTTCTGTTTCAGCTGTACGAGCTGCTCGTGTTCCTCCTTGCTGAGGAGAGCCACCCGTTTTTTCTCTCCTTGCTCACTGACATACTTGCTGATGTTTCCTTATCTCCCAGGCCACTTGCTGCCTGTCCTCGTGCTCCCCCATGGTCGGAGCCTTGCTCCTTGTGGCTCTGTCCCCACATGCTCATGTTATTTTTGACAGCCGGTATTAGGGACTGGTCTGATTTATATTTTCAGTGCGTGTTGGTTATTGTCTTTGAGATGACCAAGCTGATCTCATGCTATTCTTTCTATCTCATTTCTGCATTGGGATGGTCTGCAGATGTGCCATTATTCCAATTCCAATAAGAAACCGGCAACTCCCTGAATGTCTTCCCTTGCCCCTTGTTTTCTGAGGGATATAAACCCAAACTCATAGATTACTCATGCTTTCTTGAAGTTCACATGCTTCCCTCTCAAAACCCCACACTTCTTCCTTGTTAACTTCTGCCCAAGCAGCTTTCCATCTCCGGTTTGCTTCTAGCAGTCAGAAGCAACCTTTGAAAAGCTGGAGAAGACATCAACAGTTGCATCAACACAGTCAAAAACCTGCTGGGCACTCAGTGCTCAGCTGCATTCCCCTTCCATTGAGCCAGAATTAAAGTCTGCCTGCTGAGCCCTGGCTTCTGGGCACCTTTGTTATCTGCTCTGAGAAATTCTCCTCTGGTTTCTCACTGTGGAGAATCTGCAGCCAATGGGCAATGAAACTCATTTCAAGAGACTATTTACCTATTGGGACCCCACTCCAGGGTGTTCACATCCCACGGGACTGCAGCAAACTGCCCTTCCTCTGAGACAAGCTCTAGGCTCCCAACCCCATCTATCTTGCTTCCCATGCTAGCGATGTACAACCAGTGCCAAGGAACTGCCCAGCTGGTTGTTTTCAGCTTCAGCCTGTAACTGTTCACTCTATTTGCTTTAAGAAAGGAGCAAAGATGATGTTGGCCCACACCAGGGATCTGGCAGCCCAACGGAGTGCTTGCTGCAGCTGCCAAAGGATGCCTGTGAGCAGGTGATGCAGCACATGGTGGGAGCACGGGCACCGATGGGTGTTGATTACCCCTCAGTGGGCTCTGCTCCTGCACAGGCATCCCATCTCCTGGGAGCTCTCAGCATCCACGATATCTTGTGTCAAAGAAACAGCATCTCTGACCGGCAGTGTGTAATGCAGATACAAAGTAAAGGCTGCCTGGAGAAGCAGCTGTGGCTCCAGATGTGACATAACGGAATTACAGAATCACAAAATGGTCTGACCTTAAAGCTCATCCAGTTCCAACCCCTGCCACAGGCAGGGACCCCTTCCACTAGAGCAGCTTGCTCCAAGTCCCTGTGTCCAACCTGGCCTTGAACACTGCCAGGGATGGGGCAGCCACAGCTTCTCTGGGCACCCTGTGCCAGGGCATCACCATCCCCACAGGGCAGAATTTCTTCCTAATATCAAATATAAATCACCCCTATGTTAGTTTAAAGCCATCCCCCTTATCCTATATACCTATATGCTCTTGTTAAAAGCCCTTCTCCGGGTTTCTTGTAGCCCCTTTAGGCAATGGGAGCTGCTCTAAGGTGTCCCCAGACCTTTATCCTCTCTGGTCTGAACAGACCCAGCTCTCTCAGCCTGGCTCCAGAGCAGAGGTGCTTCAGCCCCTGATCATCTTTGTGGCCTCTTCTGGACTCACTCCAAGAGCTCTTGTGTTTGGGGCCCCATAGCTGAATGCAGTACTGAGGGAGGGGGAAGGATGGAAGGGGTTCTCACAAGAGCAGGGTAGAGAATCCCCTCCTTCGACCTGCTGGTCACGCTCCTTTTGATGAAGTCCAGGACATGGTTGGCTTTCTGGGCTGCAAGTGCCCGTTGCTGGGTCATGCTGAGCTTCTTGTTAACCTGCACTGCAAAGCCCTTCTCAGGGCTGCTCTCAGCCCAGTCTCCTCACAGCCTGTATTTCATAGAATCATAGTCATGGAATGCCAGGTTGGAAGGGACCTCAAGGATTATCTGGTCCAATGCTTCTAGGCAAGCATGACCCAGAGTGGATGTCCCAGCAGCCTATCCAGTGTCCAGAACTGGGGAGTCCTTACTTCCCTAGGGAATTTATTCCAATGGTAGATTGTTCTCATTGGGAAGAATTTTCCTCTTGTGTTCAGTTGGAATCTCCCCAGGAGTAACTTGTGCCCATCACCCCTTGTGACTCCTTGTATAAAGGAAGTCTCCATCTTCTTTGTGCCCATCCTTTAAATACCAGAATATGATGATAAGGTCTCCCTTGAGCCACCTATTTTCTAGGCTGAACAAGCCCACCTCCCTCAGTCTTTCCTCACATGGCTGCCCTGTCTTGGATTTTCTCTAGACCCTCTCCAGCCTGTCCATAGTTATTTTGTACAGCAGGGCCCAAACCAGAACACAGTATTTCAGGTGTGGCCTGACGAGTGCCAAGGAGAGTGGCATGATGACATCTTTATCTCTGCCAGTGATGCCCTTATTTGTGTATTTGTGCTTAGCCATCCATCCATCCATCCATCCGTCCCTCCATCCGTCCCTCCATCCGTCCGTCTGTCTGTCCATCTCAACCATCGGTCTGTCCATCCAACCGTCCATCCATCCCTCCCTCCCTTCCTCCTTCTATCCTTTCATCCATCCCTCCATCCATCCCTCCCTCCTTCCATCCATCCCTCCATCCATCCATTCATCTCTCCCTCCCTGCTTCCTTCCATCCTTCCATCCATCCTTCCATGCATCACTCCATCCATCCATCCCTCCATCCCTCTCTCCCTCCCAGCCAGCCAGTCAGCCAGCCATCTCTCCAGCCATCTCTCCATCCACCCATCCATCCCTCCCTTCCTCCCTCCATCCATCCCTCCTTCCCTCCCTTCCTCCCTCCTTCCCTCCCTCCCTCCCTTCATCCCTCCATTGCTCCATCCATCCAATCCAGCCAGCCAGCCAGCCATGTCTCCATCCCTCCCTCTCTCCCTCCCTCCATCCCTCCATCCAAGCCAGCCAGCCAGCTATCTCTCCATCCATCCATCCATCCATCCATCCATCCATCCATCCATCCATCCATCCATCCATCCATCCATCCATCCCTCCCTCCCTCCCTCCCTCGTTCCAAATATCCACCCCTCCCTCCTTCCATCCATCCATCCGCCCGTCCGTCCGTCCATCCATCCGTTCTCCCACCCTCTGCCCGCCCCGGGGCGGGACTCCGCCGCTGTTCGGCCCCGCCCGGCCCGGCCCGGCCCCCTCGGAGCCCCGCCCGCTGGCGTGGCGCTGGGGCAGCCGCGCTGCACGGCGCGCCCCGGCCGAGCATGGAGCAGTAGCGGCTCAGCGCCCGGCCGCTCCGTACTGCGCCGCTCGGGACCGCGCTGCCCCGCACCGCCGGCCATGGGTGCGGAGCGCAGGGGGGAAGCGGCGGCGCCCCGCGGCGGCTGCGCCTGCGGCGGCGGCAGCTGGCGGCTCTTCCTCGGCTTCTTCGCGCTGTCGCTGGCGCTGCACGTCCTGACGCTGGGCTGTTACCTGGAGCTGCGCTCCGAGCTCCGCCGCGACCGCGGCCCGCAGCCCGCAGCCCCGCCGCGCCGGGACGGGACAGCGGCAGCGCCGGGGTCCCCGGCTGCGGGGCGGCCGCAGCGGCTCGCCGAGGGCGCGGAGAGGCGGCAGCAGGTGGGTACCGGTGGGTGCCGGGCGGGGGTGGTCCCGCAGTGGTGGCGGAGCCCCGCGGTGGTGACTCCGTCCCTCGGCCCGCAGCGCTTTTAGCCAGGAAACCTCTCTTGCGTTTAGCTCTGAATAGGGGGGAGAAGCCCCAGACGGCGCCGTCGGGAGTTAAACCTGCGGAGAGCGGGGTTTCCTCTGCCGCGGGTGGGAGGTGCGAAGGGGGAGCCGGGGCTGCGGGGGTCTCGGCGGGACCGCGGGCGCTCCACCTGCTGCCCGCCCTTTTCCTGTCGCTTCATCGTGACAGCCCCGCCGTGTCGGCTCCGCTCCCGACAGCCCGGCCATCGCGGGGGTCCCGACCCGGCGGGGGGGTCCTGCAACTTCGTGTCGTGGTGGGGATCCCAGTGGTTGCCTCTGTCCTCCTGGGGTGGGTTTGATTATCTGAACTGTTCCCCCGCCGCCTGCCCCACAACCGAGATGTAGCCGCCTTTGGGGGCTCTGTATCCCCCAGCTGCCTCGAAGTCAGAGCCGTGCAGGACAGTTGGATTCTGCCACTGTTTCACCTCCCTGGTGCATGGAGCCCTGGGGAGTAGGGGTGCCTCGGGTGCCTCACTGGTCCAGAGAGCAGGAGCAGAGCTGGGGCCTCTGCTCGCAAACTTAGGTCATTTTTTCCAGGCACGAAACCTCGCTGCAAGCAGGGTAAGCTGGAGGAAGGAGTTTCTTCCCCTTTGAGCCTCATGAGCAGATGGCCCACTCTGTAAAGGTGCCGGCTGGCTTTGATGGGGGGTCCTAATGAAGGTCTGGGGGAGCAGAGGCACAAAGCCCTCCCTCAGTGCCCCAGCAAGTCCTCGCCTTGCCGGTTATCGATGCAGGGGTGGGCGGCAGGGAAAAATAGCTTTGATAAAACTGCGAGTTTGGAACCTCTTCCTCTGACTTGGCAATGGGCTGCGCTGGCCTCGGCTGCTCCCGGAAAGCCAGGCTTGTGCCTTCCAGTTGGCACTTGGATTCTGCAGCTTCCAATAACGAAACCTAAGAGAGCATTGAACTGGAGAGAACCTGAGCTATCTGGTCATCGCTTTTCTCCCTTCAGTGCTCGGGCAGTGTCAACATGAAGTGAGTTGCAGCAGCTCGATGCTGTTTTGGGATTCTTAGGTTGCCTTGTAATAGCATGCGGCTGAAGTTGCTTTCGTGTTATCATGCTGGATCTGTTTAGTCTTTAGAGCTCTTCTTTCCAGCGACTGTATAATGAAATACCAGGGTAAATAGTTGAGGCATTCATAAATTACGGTGTCAGATAATTTGTCTCTGGATGTGTATGAAGATCCAAGCATCGCTCGCGTACAGCTGACATACTCCAGATAAGGTAACGCTAATTCTTTATTTCTTCATTTTACATCTGGCCTGTCAGGCATAAGATGAAAAATTCTTCCGGACATATTGAAGCAGTTGGTTGTGAGAGAAAGTTTCCTTGTAGTAAGGACACGCGAAGCACTGGGCTTAACGGGCAGCGCGCAGCTCACAGCTGAACTGCTGGCACCGAAACCGCTCGGTTTGGAAACTGGTGCTGTGACAACATGTAATTAACACTATTTGTAGTAGTGCTGCTCTCCCGTTTCTCACCGAGTTTTCTGCCTCGCCATTCACATGAGACGATGTGCAAGCGAAAACCAGCCGCCTTCCATGTCTTGGGTGCTGTGAATGTGGAGATATAAATGAGGTATTTGCAAAGAGACTTGCTGGAAAAGTTATCATCAAATATCAGGGGGTTCCTAGCTGCTTCCCAACCCATTGTTGTGCTTGTTCCTAATCCAAAGTGCAGTCCCATGCACATGTCTAAGGAGACATGCTCACCTAAATGAAGCAGAAATGACTTAGCCTTTCAAGCAGTCTGATCAATGATGTTTCTCTCCATGGGATGGTCAGAGTTGTGGTGCGCTGGGGGTACCCAGCATCCCAAACCCCATGTTTTGAGATAGGACCCTCCAAAAGGCCTTGTGCTGTGTTCAGCCATGCGAAGTATCGTCAGTGAAGAGGCTGAGGAATGGCTGCATGTGTTGTGATTATACAAGCTGATTTAAAACCAAAGAATGCTCCCTTCCCTGACCCTTTTTTCTTTTTTATTTTTAGGGGCTTTGGGTTTTTCTTTTTAATGTGTTGTTGATTTGTTTTGTTTTAATAGTTCCCCCCCAACCCCCTTTCCTGACCTGAGGCAGGAGTGAGAGGAGCAGGGGAAGGATGGGAAGTGATGGTCATCACTGAGATTTTGGCTGAAATCTCGCCTGGTTGTGTGCCAGAAATGACCTCATGACAGGAGTGAGATTTGGCAGCTCGATAACGCCCCGCTTCCCTATCTTACAGGGTATTCAAATATGTAACTCATTTAAGATACAAGGGCAATTTTTCATGGCAGAGATTGAGGCATTGTAGTTCACATCTTTGTCCCAGAAGCTGCGGGGTGTTGCATCACCGGTTTGGCTCCAAGATGAAAAGTTTGTTAATGCTGCTTTAATTCATCGACTCTCCGGTTGCTGTCCCTCTGAGATGCGACTTGGGGAGCGGTGGTGCGATCAGCCTTGACCAGTGTCATAGACTCCCCATAATCCCTCCAGATGGGTGCGCTGGGGAATACCCCAGTGGTTCAGTTGGTGTGTTCATTAGTGTTTGCTCATGGGGAATGGGCAGCAGGGTGCTATGTACCCCTCATTAGAATAGCTTATGCCTAAACTAGATCCAAAACCCATCATCCCTGTAACGCCTGAGCCTCACGAGCAATGTTTCTGTGCTTTTTCACCAAGCGAGCCCATGCCATGCTGCATTTCTACAAACACTTGTATTCTTGAGAGCACCGACCAAAGCACGGGCCCTTGTGAGTGTCCTGAGATGGGCTTAAAAGTTGCCAAAGCCTGCCTCTTGGCATGAGAACAAGTACCCATCAGATATGGCAGATCAAACTAATTGGGGGGCTGGCTGGCCAGGGGGGGCTGCCGAGTCAGCTGAAGGAATGTTCTGAGCATCAGTTGGGTTACCAGCATTCACCATCATGAGTGCCAAAGGTCTCCCTTGGTCTTCATCTCTCACCTTTAACGAGGGAGACAGGAGTGCTTCCATCACTGTTCCTGACAATACCATTGCTTTCCTGCCAGTATTCTTAATTCCACCAGTGCAACACGTGTAACACCCAAACTGTTAGTTTCTTCCCTTTCCCACCCGTATCCCTCCATCTCCTGAAGAAAGTCAGGCTCCTCTGATTCCAGCAGTCGTTAGGCTGTTCAACCCCATGTTAATTCATACCTGTCTCCTAAAAGCCTGCTTGCTCGTTTGATAAATTACAGGAAAAAAAGCTTTAGAAGTGAAGTAGTATTTTGCTTGTAGTTATAGGTAAAGAAATAACAGCGAGAGTCTGCAACTCAGTCGATGCGTGCTGCTTTTTGTTATATTGAGTGAAAATTAATCACTGCCTTTACTTGGAAAAGTCCTAGGGAGCAATACAGTTTTTTCTGTTTCTGGTCAGGATGCTGTGGCAGAGTCATTCTTGGCGAGTTCTTTGGGCAGTTTCACCTGGAGAAGGGTTATGGCCTGTTGGCCTCTAACTGGCCATGGGAAAGGGCTGTTGGCTGTAGGGGGCAGATGGACATCACATTGTCGTTTACACTTAGTCTGTTGTCCACCCTCTGCCACTGAATGGTCATAACTGAAAACAGGGCATGATGGGCAGGTGCCTGTTGCTGTTTGTTCTCTAAGTAGCATTGTCAGTCTAGTGTGAGTAACTCACTGAAATGGGGGTTTAGAGGTTGATCAGAACACCTAGGCAAGACTCACCTAAGTGTAAAAGCAGAAGGGAATTGGTGCTTGGCTGTGGAGGCACCTTGGTGGTTTTTGCCTCCCTAACGTGAAAGTGCAGTCATTTTGCCCTTTTTTCCACCAGTTCCAGCTCCAGAGTCAAGGCATTCAGGTGTGATTTGCACAGCATGCTGTCAAAGGATCTGAAAGGCATTAATGCAGCTCCAGAGACTTCTCCTTCCCCAAACTCATCCATGCACCTTCGTGCCTGTACCTGGTTCCTGCATCCCGAGCCGGGAGGCTGCACCAGCACGTGATGGATCAGGAATGAGCTGAAACTTGACAGTATGATGAAAGCTTTGAGTGGAGCGTTGTGTTGTGTTGGAGACACTTCTTCAATATTAGCCTACTCTGAAAGCAGCCTCTGTGCAGAGCTCTGCAGGGCACAAACCTTTAAATATCTGCTCAGGGCTCCTGCTTCAGGGCTTCTGATCTCAGGCTATGGGTGCAGGTGGACTATAGAGCAGAAAGAAGATGGTGTTTATGCATGCAGTTCATCACAGGTTTTCCCTCGAATTACACTTGGAGGTGTTGGTTGTAGCTGGAGGAAGCTCTTACAGGGCAATAAAGGGAGACCACAGTGTGTTATCTAGCTAATAACACGTTGGGGCTCTGGTAACCTTCATTCACATCTTAATAATGCCTATCCCTCGACTGAGAGGATAACATTCCTGAGACAGCGTGAGGTTTGGATTCTGTGCCGGGAAGAGGGGGCTGGAGCGGGGTTGCCTGATATCAAATAGAAAACATATTTCTGCTACTATGCCTATGAATATTCTTTGCATAATCTGGCACGAATCCATCAACTCCTCCTTTTAAACAAGAAAATGGTACCGAGCGTCAGGAGAATGGCAGTGACTGCTGTGTTAATTGGAGAATGAAGAATAGTGGGAGCGTTGCCCCAGGGGTTTGAGGTGCATCCCTGCGTGTGTTGCAGGTTTAAGTCACAGTGTGTGGAGGAACCATCACATTTGGCTGTGAAGGGACTGCAGGGCTGGTGCAATGCTGGGGCCCCGCTCTGCCTGCAACACCTTCCTGGCTTGCTTATTTATTTATGGTGCTGCTCAGGTGTGTTTCATTCCATGTCCTTACACCGAGCAGGTGATTTGGGCACTGTTGTGTGAGCTGGGATGTCACCGCTCTTGAGCTGTTCAGCTGGGAGGGCTGAAGCT